AATGTAGAATGCAATGCCCTCTTCATGTGTTTTGTTGTCAATAGATTTATAAAAATAACTAAATTGCACATACACTCTTCTCTTCTCATTCTCTTTGACTTTACAATGGGGCTAAACACCATGTGTCAATGAGGGTTTGGCTTTTTGATTTTTGCTACAAATACAATAATTGTTGCAGTTTGCATTCATTTAGTTTGGTTAGTTGCAGACATTTAGTTTTGTTCTGTTATGATGAAAATGAAAGCATTTATGGTGGCATATGTGCATATTTGTATGAGAATATAAGAGGATTATGCCTGTTCACAGCCGAGGGTGCAGACGGGTGGGTTGCAGAACGTTCACTCAATATCCCCTATTGGTATACTAGTTTCATATATGATTGACTTGCATCTGTGTTGTCATATGTATTTCTATGATACTTTGAGAGGAGATTGAAATTCCCCTTTATTTTAAAGATGCCTCACCCCCCCCCCCCCTCCATGTCTCTCATTCTGACCAGAAAAACCTTCCTGTTATCACAAGCTGTCGTATCCGCTGTTGTTTCACTGATAGCTTTTTCCAACTCTGCCTCTCAAGTTGTCTTTTATTTTCTTTTGAAGTCTGTCCGTGGGTGTTGTCAGAGAACATGGCTTCTCTCCATTGACACAAGAGTCAACTCCAAAACTAGAATGACCTCAGAGTGTTTCTCTATTGTACACCTGCAGATATCTGAAGGCTAAGCCTGTTTTTCGTCAGGAGTTTTTTTTTTGTGAATTTATAATGCCCACAATGTTATATCAGAGTGTTCTTGCTCTCGCAGCAGTAAAACAGGGCTTAAACTCTCCAAATATTGCCATCTAAAATTCTGCTATCAGCTTTCATTTTTTAATTCTCATTTCTGGAACTGAAAACGGTTATTTTCAAAGATAAGCCACATCATAGTGACTATATTATTACATTAATGCTAGCCAAACCCCTTCAATAGTTTCCATTTCTTTACTGGCCTCCGTCCAGATCAGTATCATCTACACTTCTCATCACACAAAACCACCTTGTAAATAACCATATTACTCCACCATGTGCCACAGCCCCAAAGGAAAAGATCCCCAACATTAGAGCACCAGGGGATTGTGTTGGGGGCGTGAGAGGTTAAGACTTGTTGAATAGCTGGTAGGCGTCACACAATGAAGTGGATTAAGCAGCACTAGAAAGGGCCTTTAGGGCTTTACTGGGGTGTTCAGCAGCTTACAGCGCTTACAATAACACTGCAACAGTGTACAGCGGATCCAGCCGGGCTAGCTGGGGTTGGCTAAAAGTCGAGCGGTAGGAACAAGTGGCTCACAGTCATGGCTTCTGTTACAGAAAGCAGGGAGGCAGCAGAATGATCAGACACTTAATAGGCTGACATTAAAAAAAAAACTCAAGTGAAAGCAATTTGGGTAAAAAGAAACATTGCAACATTAGGCTGAAGATCCTCTCTGACCTTTTTAAGGACCCTTGGGTGTTACATTGGTATGGAATTGAGGAACTGTTGAGCTGGAGAAGCAAAAAAACTGCAAAGGTGAGGCTCACTCTCAGATGGTCTAGAAGTTATATCAACTTAATTGAACCCATGTAGGTGAATATGATAGTCCATTGTCATAAAAATAAGCTAGGATGAATTATTCTTTAAATACTGAATTAACACTAGTTACATTATATGTTCTGTTCTTAGTTTGCTTATACATATGGGTCTTTTTGTTTGTTTTCTTTTCTTATAGACATACTTAACAATTCTACACACTGGTTATGTGTAAACCAGCTAAACTTTAACCTTATATGAACATGTATATCCTTTTATTCCCATGTACTTTAACATGTGCCCTGTGTTAACTGTGATATCGCTTTACCGTATAATTACATGAAAATACCTCGAAGACCACATAGGGGAAAAATGTGAGATGGAATATATGAATAAGAAACTATATTCAGTAGGATGTATTTCTAAAGTAAAACTAACAGCTACTGGCTTTTTCAACCAATAATCGGTATTTGTCCAGTAAATCCTCACATTATCTGAATCCAAGCAGTGCTCACCTCTGCTCAGGATTACTTAAGCATATCTGCCCCGTGTAGTGTTGGGGAAATTAAGCAGAGGGGGTGGGAGAGCTGGCAGTGGGCTGAGATAACACTGCAGCGTGGCACATGGCGTGTTAGCTGGGATAATAATACTGCGGTTTGTATGAGGTTTCATGAGCCAAAGTAAGAAGCTCCCACTTCCTGCACTTCCCGTGACAGAGACACTATCCGCATTAGCTCCTGTACATCTGCGGGACATATTAAACTACTGCTGTGGTTTTTCTGGAAGTACAGTATGATTTTGAAAAGACTTTGCAGCCAATTAGCGCTACTGTTCATCTCAGGGTCAGTTTGGCGTCCCGCAGTTTTTGATAGACAGCTGTTCACAATCGCCTCAAACAGCAGGAAAAAAATGTAACGTGATATTCCGGCATTGTAAAAGACCCGGCATGGAAACAAATAGCAGAGGGAAATTGTAGGTCATAGCAGATTACACATACTCGGCTACAGAGCGTATCAGCTTTTATCATTTTAGTATTTATACTTTTTTTTATCTCTATGGAAGGCTATTGTTCCAGTACCTTTTATATTTTCCTCTTGCATTCTCCCAGGAGAACATGTTGGTTATGCCTCATATTGTAAAGCATGTCCTCTTTAGCACCATGAGGAAAACGAAAAAAATTAAGTAAACATTCTTTTTTTCATTTCTTTTTGGAAATGTTGTCATTTCTATCGTTTGTTTTTAAAAAAACATGAACATATATGATTGCAAGTAACAGCAATTTGACACATACAGACACATCACAGAACATAGACAGATCCTCACTGTTGCAATTCATAATAACATTACTGTGATACGTTGTAAAATACTATGGCCTAGTACTCGGGCAGGCAGTGTTTTCTTTCTTTTTTTTTATCAAATATGCCTGAGACATACACAGTCTGTTTGCACATACCACATAACATATGCATTCTGATCATTGTTGTGGCTTCAGGACTTGCCCAGATGTCTTTCTTGGCAAACACATTGGGTCATCTCATCACTTTTACAGCTCAGACAAGCATGTTCTGACATTTACTCATATCAAATATCAGGCTGTTGCCTCAGCGATTGACTGAAGATCTTTTAAATGCAGTTGTTTCATTTCCCACTGTTCTATAAGCCCACATTAACTCTGTGCTCATTTCAGCTCAGCAACATATATTCGATTAAATCTGTGCTGTTTCATGGATGCAAAGTGGTACACAGTTCTAGGGCATCAACCACTGTAAGAGGAGCAGCCAAGCAGCAGCAGATTAAACACAAACAGACGACTGATGGACCTCACAATACACTGTATGCGTCACAGTCTTAATACTGTGCTGCCACTTAAGCGCACGCCATTCTGTCCACATATAGACAGATATGGTTTATAGCAAGTAATAACATTAATGAGTTCCTTGTGGAGAGATCCTGACCAGAACAGCTTGGTCAGTGCATTGTGGGGGATTTTGAATAGTTGAAGGGGAGCTCTGTGTGTGACATCCCAGAGAAATGTGTTGTGTCACCGAGAGAAGAAGGTTTGATAGGTTTGGTTGTGTCCAAGAAAAACTGACATTCTCAGACACTGTGGAATAATTAAAAATACGTCAAATTTATTTCAGCACAGTTCTAAGTGTGAAGTGCTCCAGAGGGCATCATTTACGGTGTACCTAGAAGAAGCGATATCTAAGGGTATATCTGGGTTTTTTATACATTTCTCTTTTATCTTACATACAACTGTTTACCAGGGACCACAAACTTACCACTCAGTGTTCCATGATGCCTGTGGGCTCATCTGGTGAACCTAAAATAAACAGGGAGAAGCCACGTCGTCTGTCATTTGACCAAAAATCATCCAGAACCAAAACAGTAAAGGATAGAGTGTGATGTTGTATTCCATAGGCTGACTTCCTGTTTGTCTTATTTCCTTGGTACTAATAAAGTCATTCTGACTTTATGTTTATATTGAAAGTGCAAACATGAGTAGTTAGAAAATTATAGGTTGTATGCCAACAAATACTTTGTTTTTACATTGTTAACAAAACTGCGATGCTCGAAAAATCTTTTACTGACGCCATTTTAGACCTGAAAACTGAGGATTCATAACTTCAGTGCGAACAGTAGGTCAAAGTTAAGCCCGTCCATGCACTGCTGTGGAGTAATGTTTATGTAACACTTCCCCAATCTTTTCCCTTCCGGATTAGTTAACCTGCCTGATCATGTATTCCTTTGTTTCCTGACTGTATGTGATGACTTTATAATTGAGACATTCAAATGCATTTGATAACAGCTGCACTGAAGGACCCCCAAAACCGGTCCTCACACATAATCTGCCTCTTTCTAAACAAGTTAAGTGTCACCCTAAGGATTTTATATCAGCAAACAATAAAAAAGAGTAAAGTCTGATCCTAAAAAGAGAAGAATATTCTAAGGCAATGATGTCAACAGTATTTTAGACTCACCCACACACGAAGTAGGCCATGTATTATCAAGAGTGAATATCCCACCAAAATTGGCCTGCAGCAGCACATTACAAGCCACATTTAAGACTGATGATCCAAAACAATGCTACCAACTCCCTGCTGCCAAAAGTATCCCTGTCCTGTAGAAGTATGAACTTTACAGGGCACTAAAGGTACCCATTTCTATCTGGAATTAAAAAAAAAAAGGCAGGCCGTTGAAATATCAAATTATATCCATAAACCAAAGATGGGTTCCCACTCCCTGGTTTTCCCTCCTCAGATGGCTTCCACTCATCACAACTACGCACAACTATCCCACTGTTCTTGTTGCTTAAGAGATTGTCAGATTCGGTTATCTGAATCTGAACAGCTGCCGTTATTTAATTTTTTTCCCCCTCAGTTTAGCAAGTTGGCTACAACAAGACGCTCTTCACTTGCTTTTTAACAGCGTAAGCATTTTCGTGTCTTTGTCCTTTCAGAGCTGCAGAGGGAGGGCAGCATCGAGACTCTCAGCAACAGCTCAGGCTCCACCAGCGGCAGCATCCCACGCAACTTTGAGGGATACCGCTCGCCCCTACCCACCAATGAGGGCCAGCCGCTCAGCCTCTTCCCAACCAACTTCCCCTAAATCTTCCTCACCATCCAGCCGACCCGATCACTTACCTGCTCCTCCTCAGTGTGTCCACCCAGCGTCACACCAACTTACCGATGTGTTAAACTGAACCACATATCATATTTGAGTTTGTGTTGCTTTATAGAATATGCTTGTCTTTTCCCTTTCTTGTACAACTGGTCTCAAATCAGTCCTCTATTTAGTATTATTATTACAATTATGAGGTTGGCTTTTGTTCAATGTGTGAAGCTTGGCAAATTTCCTGTTTTAAGTTTGCCCATTTTTAGACCAATGTCATTCCAACAGTGATTGTAATTATGTGTTAACCCTCACCTTGTAATAATGTCATGGTAAAAAAAACATACCTTTAAAAAAAGAAATCGGTCTTAATTTCAGCTTTCATAAATTCTGAGCTTATCATTTTTTTACTTGTTTTTTGTTTTTTGTTTTTTTTTTTACATCAGACCCACACATTACTCGAACTTGTTGTTGAGTTGAATTAGCAGCAAGTCCACACCGATGATGCAAACTGGATATCCTCCTCTTCTGTCTGCTGTCCCTTTGGCCCGCCGTGCTTCCTTGCGTGTGTTTGAAGTTAACGGTGTACCTATTGTCTGAATGGGACGTAAGAGAGGGGGCGCCGCCAGAGGAGAAACTGTTTATTTCAGGCAGTGATGGGTAGCACCTCATTTTTTGCTCCAAAAGTGTGTGAGTGTGTGTGTGTGTATGTGTGTGTTTGTGTGCGCGCGCATGCGTGTGCTGCTCTCATGGCCTCACACTAAATGTTTTTGATTGAATTTTCTCCTTTCATGCCTTTGATTTTCATGTAATTACATTTGACAAAAGATGCAGTAATGAGATGACACTATTACTACATTGCAGAAGTAATTTAGATGTTTACAAAGTCATTGAGATATGTTTCTGAAATCACTTAGATACATCCCCTTCCAGTCTTTCCGCGTAGCAGATTTTAATTTTGCAGAATAATTCAAATAGTTTTTGACATCTCTGCACATTGCATTTTGTACTTTATCAACATTTGACCAAATTCTTTATTTTCCTTTAGTATAGATTTTCAAAACAATGTATTTTCCTTACATGCTAGCTTTGCTTGTAATAATGAAGACTGATGATCTATAAAACTTTTGCTTGGAAGATGCAGAATATTTTAAAAAATGTGTTATTCACGAATTGAGGATTTACAAATTGAGAATGTAGTGTGCAATGCCACGTCTGGGTGTTGTTACTGTCTGCATGTCGTGAAATTCTGTCTCACTCACCAGTAGAACAGAAAAGGGCATGAACCTACTCATTATGAGCTAGTTGGCAGTGAGTTCACATTTGTACAAAACGGACTTCTTTTCCCGGCATTTAAGCAAGTAAAAATATAATAAAAGTTGCGGAAATTAAACTGTCTGTTCTTTGTTTTGTTTTTTCCCCCACTGTGATTGCTCCTTGTGTGCTGTTCACCACGGCAGTGACCATCAGCACATAGTACCACTGGTAATTAGTACCATATTTTTTAACAGGCAGTAAAGTGTTGTTAAGCAGAGTTTTATGGCTGACTCTAGCTCTTTGTTGTGAAAGTAAAGAAAATGAAAAGCATGTTTGTTTCACTGCTAATATGCTGAGCTAAAAGTCCTACATGCAGTGTTTAAGACTGAGACCATTTTTGCTTAAATGATTTGATAAAATACTGAAATGCACAACAGCTCAGAGTTCACTGTGTGGTGTATTTTATCTCATACCTGTAAACTGCAAGCCATAAAATGAAAAAGAGGTCTTAGCCCTGCCACAGTGGAAGAAGAGGTGGCCCGAGGAGACTCTTAAACCCCCTGTAAAAATGTTAATGTAAGAAACGTGTCTGTGTTCCCATTCGTTTGAAAATCATGTTGATTACGCCATCAGAATAATTTCAGTAAATACATTAAGATTTTTTTTTGCAAAAATGTCTGTTCCAGGTTATGTGCTGTACACCATCATAAATAGAATAGAAGTTCCAGCCACAGGTTGTGTCTCCCTCTCCACGACCAGAAGAAACTTCCTTGCTATGCAACAAAAAGAAAACGACACTCTGGTTCCGACATATTTTATTTCAACATGTTCTCATAAAAACTCAATTTTATTTGTGCTGTCAAAATCACTTATGGATAATGAATTGAGTGTAATCAGGATTTTCTTTAATCTAGTATAAGGACAAACACACACACAAAATGGAAACTGATACTCAATTTTTCTGTTTAAAATATATTTGTTTATTCATTTCTTGCAAGCAGCCACCAGTGCGGTGGGAAGTGAGGACGAATGGAGAAATTCAGTATTACTGACCTTCAAACTCCTGTTAGAAACAGAGAACAAACCCATAAATCTCAGGACACTGATTGAAGTCACTCTGGATAACAGAATCAGGTGCCTGCAATGGAGCTAAACTATAGAAAACTTCAAAGTGTCCAGGTCCTTACTGCTGACCTCCCGCTAGCAGCTGAGCTGGGAAAGGAGGCTTGCTGCTGAGTCCTAATTTGTGAACATTCGGCAAGAAAGCAGCAGCAGAAACTCAAACATTTATCATTCGTACCAGGATTCATTGCAGCTGTGTCAAGGTGCCATGAGAATATCTACATTTGTTTAGTTTTTTTTGCCTGGATTCATCATAAAACGTTGGCATTAGCTTTTACTACTACCTCAGGAAAAACCTCTTATGTTTTATTGGAATAAAACATGCACTGTGATCCAAGCTACCTGCTTCTCAGCGGTGAGCAGCCTGAAAGTAAAATTAGAGGACAGCTGTTCTTTAAATCCTGTTGGTTATGAATTAAATGAGTTACCTTTTGATCAACAAAGCTACTTAAACTATTATTTTTTACTGTCTATGTTAAAGCACAACAACCCTTCACTGCTTTCTGCTTCTTACATTGAGACTGATAAGAACTTCCTCTTTGCAGGACAATAAAGGCTGTTTCTATTTTAACCCCTACAAATAGAAAGTTCTCTCTAAATGTATTTGATATATTACAGAAAGCAGACAGTGATGGGGATAAGAATTATGTCGCAGGCTATTTTAATCATCCCAATATTCCTAAAAACACCTTATTGCACATTTCACTTCATTTAGTGAGGATTTAGTGAGGATTTTGAATTCAACTTGGCAGGTGACTCACCTGACTGCAAGACAGACGTTAAATATGTTATATTTCCTTGTAGCTTTAACGAAAAAAAAAAAAGTTATGCAAGAGTTTATTCAGCTGGAATCATGCAGTTCCAAAATAAAATCCCAACAAAGCACCATTTTACTGATCATATTATGATCTTTCTAAAAAACAAAGAGTTGTGTTAAGAACTTCAGCCACATAAAAAAAAAAAAAAGAAATACAAAATGGGGAATTTTGATATTTAAATGAAAAACACGTGGTCTCTGATTAGTCTTAAAATGGCTGCAAAAATGCAATATTGAACAGGCTTGGTGTAGAACTATTATTTTGATTTTTACACAGCAATACCAAAACTTGAAAACCACAAGGAGCTTACAAAAAAAAAGGGGGAAATTAGTTTAAGTATTAACATGTGAAAGCCTGTGAATGGAATATCCGTGGAGAAGCCTTGTTAGTTTTTTGTCTGCAGCTCAGGATGAGCTGTGCCAGACTTACCTGGCAGGACGTCTGCACCTTTTAACAACTCCACCATCTTCAGACTGGAACCGCAGTCTGTCCTGGATGAAGAACGACTGCTGAGAGAAACAAAGTCAGGAAGGTGTCAGACTTTCATTTCCTCAAAATGTTCATTTATTTTAGGGGAAGCTGAAAAAAAATGTTTAAAAGGAGATTCACGGAACTCAATCATGTCAGAACAACCAGTTTAGAACACAAAAAATAACAGATTAATCATGCGTAAAATACGCAACAGGTTAGTTCCGAATGAGGACGTCTTTGATATCATGCCCGATGCTCAGTAGCACAGACCACGAGGATCTCTGATTAGAATAAGAATCGTCTAAATTGGTTCGTTTATAGGGTTCAGTTTTGTCTAATCTGAGGCAGTTGAAAGTAAACATCCGCCATCAGATTTCAGCTGCAGACACCTGCAGCGCATAGGTGGCCCGCCCATCTTTTCCAGACTCCCAATTTACTGGCATTCAGTCCTGAGTCAAGGTAAGAAGAGAGAACTGACCTGAAGTCAGTGCATCGCCAATTTAGACTTTGTCAGTTTCAGTTGTTCAACATTAATCCAGGACTTACAGCAAAACCCGATTTTTCTCGCTTATACATTTGTGTCATAAAGAAACTGAAGATTTACTGTCACAGAAAAGGTGTCTTTTTTGTCTTACATATATACACATATATATTTTTTTGTTCCTCCATCCATCCTTTCACATGGCAGGCAGCCTTTGCATCACTGTTTCTGTTGAATATCAGATTATTTCGCGTTGATCTTGTTGTTTTTAAGTCTTAAGGGGTATAAATGAGTCAGATAAACTAAGTAAGAATAACTAAAGGATGTTTTTGTTTTTAAAAACTCTCAATCGTAAGTGGATGGTTCGTGTTTAGCTGTTCCTCCGTGCAGGGGTTGCTCAGAGCTGGAAGCAGAGGCCTGCAGGTAGCCTCAGCTCTGGCTGCTGGTGCTGATAATGAGATTCAGTGTTCCCGGAGCCGCAGCTGCTAATTCCATTTCTGCACGCTGTCAACGCATATGCAAAAGGCACGGTGCATTTCTACTTCTTGTTCAACAGAAATATACGTAGACAGACACTGAGTGGTAATAAACATCGCGAGATGGGAGACGTTAAAACCCCAAGTTTAGACTGGAACACAACGAGAACGCTTTGAGCTCAGATCTGATGAACAAAACAGTGGGCAGAGGCAGCTGCAATTAGATTTTTGACATAGTAACAAACGGTAATTGTCCAAAAAGACTCATCAAAGTGACAAGAAACGCTTTGGCTCGAATTGATTTGTTTTTTTATCGATCAACTGAATTCAATTTCAGACCTTGCAAGTAAATATACAGGATAAAAAATATGCCAATTTGAGGATGGTTATTATAAATAAAATTCCACCCAAGAAACTATACTCCTCGTAACGTCTTTGTGCGGGAGCCCTGATTCTCTTGGCAGCTCAAACATTTCTTGGGTTTGGATTTATTTTTCCAAACGGCTCCAAGTGTGGATTTGACAGGTGAATGAAAGATAAATGTGATTAGGAGATATCAAAAGGAATCCAAACAGTTGAAGCTTGTTTGAAATGCGATCCACATCGAAAATGCAAAATGTATAAGCCAAAACACACATGCAAAAAAAGGCATAAAGAGATCTGGAAAAGGGTCAGGGAGCCATTTATGTTCAAAGAGGAAGTCTTTTTTTCTCTTTAGACTGTAGTGCTATACGTTTATGTGGTCCTATGTCTGTCACATATAGCCATTAAATATACATTCACTTGATTAATGAATTTTCCTTTGAGATTGGCCAGTTTTTTTTTTTCTAATCTGATTTACCATCATTGTATTTCCCAAATATTACACTACGTCACAGACGAATTTAGGACACCCAAATGCCCCTAAATCTTCTCGGCACATTAACCATCGGTATCATGTCATGGCATTTACATAAGATAGCTTATAAATATTTCAATTAGTCAACGGACTGGTGCCATGGAAGGAGCAGAATGCATTTGACTCGGAGAGAACTGGATTTATAAGAGCGCGCGCGTGTGTGCGGCACCCGGTGATGCCCGTGACTGTGACAACTCTGTCACCCTTCCCTGCCTCCCTTGGGTTACCATAGCGCCCCCATCTGGTTTTTCCACCTGTCAGTCGCACCTACTGTGTTCCAAAAACACCGGGGCTGCGGTCAGACGGGACGGAGAGAATAAGAGAAAACAGGTTTCTGGGCAGGCAGGTAACCGGATCTGAGTGGATGTAGTTCGTGATTGGGTTTGTCGTGAAGTCATATGGAGGGAAAAAAATGTTTGTTTTATAGCAGCTCTGTGATGCATTAGATTTTAACCTGATCCCCAAAAGAGCATCGCATTCTGTGTATCCAAATAACATGATAGTACGCGGTGCGTGTTTGCGTTCGGTTGGGCAGAGGGGATGAGGAAACATTTTTTCTTTTCCACAAATGAGAACAGATATGTTTCATCTAGCAGAGTGAGAGCCAGGGAGGAGGAAGTGGAGGAGATGAAGGACAGGAGGAAGAGGAGGAGGAGGAGGAGGAGGGCTGCTGGTAGTTGCGAAAAAGGCAGAGTAGGAGGGAGAAGGAGGAGGAAAAGAGAAAACGAGGAGGAGGAGAGGAGGAGGATAAGGAGGAGGAGGAGGAGGAGAGGCCGCTGGTCGCCGGGTTTCCATGTGACAAGGGGAAATATGAGGGACTTTGACAGGTCTTAAACGGTCTGGCGCCAAGGCCTCAGTCTAGCCGCTAAATATAGCCGGAGAGATGATGCAGGGAGATGGGAGGAGAAGATGGAGAGATGAAAGGAACAAGGGGAACAATGTCTAAGAGATGAACAAAACAATAATACTCGATTAAACATATAAATATGGCGCAAAAACTGTCCGGTTATGTTGTAATTAGAGCTCGAATGGTGAACAAGGGGGCCAGATCAGACGGACGAAAGCTGCTTTTTACGCACATTTCCACATCTGCAGCCGTATTGCGTTATTGAGCAGACAGATCAAGGACATATAGAGGGGGGGGGAACTCTTTAGTCAACTTTTTAGATGGATATCATCACGCCAGCAATTATTGCACAGGAACTCAGTGAGCTCAGGTCGCAGACTGACAGGCAATGTTCAAGTCTTTTCAGGGGGTCATGTGCTAATCATTGTACGTGTCATAAATTAGCCGGTCGACATGACGAAAAGATCAACCGTTGAGGAAAAAGTTCAGAATTTGCTCTTATTTTTCACATTTACAGCTTAATTCCCCTTATCCCCAACTGACACACAAATGCCCAAAGAACAAGTCTAAGAGGCATATTTACTGTCTGCTTTCATTAATCCCCAGCAGAGGATGTGTTAATCTGTAAGTGCAGTGCCCTTAGAATTACCAGCAGATCGGAACAGTCCCGCTCCGACTTAATGACTTTTAAATCACGCGTAATGGAGATTTTCTGTGCCGTTGAAGGCACAGAATAAATAAATGGTGACTAATTTACACAAACACTGCTGATACAATTACCCCGTTTGGCACTCCGACAGAAAAAACCGTTATCCACCTCCATATGTTGCTAATCTTTTTTCCCTGTTTCCACCGGAAAGCTCCCCGAAGCTTCAGAAAGTCTTACAAGACGCCGCAGCCGCTCTACATCTCCGTCTGTCGTTTCCATTAGTCCCAAGATGCAGCATTCCAATCTAGTCAGGTGCACAACCAAATTAAGGCGAACTCACACACACACCACCATTTAATTCTGAAGAGTTATTTTTTTTGTGTATCATTTCCCATTCACGTTTGGACATGATGCCCTTTGGCATTTATTTTCAACATATGCCAAATAAAAATGCCCCCTTTCCGCTGACTCTGCTATTGATGTCTGTGCTGCATGAAGCAAACAAGACGCACCACGGGCTTCAATCTCAATCTAACGTGTCCTCTGAGCCCGTGGACGCAAAATCTTTCAGCCAGGTCCCGTAAACTGTGCGCTCGGTTCTGTTGGAGCTGCTCTATTCCGGCCTGCTGGCTCTTAACGCACGGTTGTATCAGCCAGAAGGAAGCCACGCAACAAGTGTGTAACACAGGGAAGACGTGCAAACCTTTCATGCTCTTAAATCACACAACATGACATGTCCCACACACACACACACACACACACACAAACACACACACACAAGTGCGGGCAGCTAAAACTTCCTGGTGACGCAATGAGGTTTTTTGGATTTTGTTTTATAACTTGTCTGTGGAAGCTGCGATTTGATTTCGTGTTCCAGCATTTATACATGCTGCTATGACGTATAAGAAGTGCACCGGATGAGAAGTATATACCGGATGGATGACATATTCTAACAGTTGCTATTCGAGACTGTTTTTTTGTTCTGTTGTAAGAGTTTGCTGTGGCTGTCCGAGGAGGCACTGAGACACCGCTGAGTTCCAGGGGTTCACAGGAAATACACAGTTGTCTCTGACAGCCTTATTCAAGGGAGGAGGGCTGGGGGTTGGAGGGGTGGGGGGTAGTGGGGGGGTTCACTTTTTCTTTCGGTTTTTTTGTCGAAGTGATGTTTGTGGCCCACATTGCGATTCGAGAGCACGAAAGTATGAATAAATAAAAATGTTTTTTTTTTTAAATCCCCATCTGACACCGAGTCCGAAAAAGAGGAGCAGGAGCCTGCAGATGAGGCAGCCGAATGGGGGGGGGGGGGGTCGGATTGGGTTCGCGCATGCTAGACTTCTGGGTAAATATGAAGAGACGTGAGATTGTTCTTATTGTGGCGCATCGGCCGACTGGCGCCAGGCGGCTCTTTAACGAACTGAGTCCGAGTTAATCAGGAGCCGGGGTTGCTGGATTCTGAAGGAGCTCAGTGGAGCAAAGTGCAAGGGGAGGCTGAGGCTCGGTTGGGGACCCCATACGGCTTCCGGAGTTCCCGCACTGTCCCCTTAGTTTGACTAAATACAACCTGTCGGAGATTAACGCGCCACCACTGCCCGCTCCCGGCTCGGACCGGCCACTAAATCATGTCACCGCTGCGGGTGTTTGACGCGCAGACACAAAACGATACTGCACAAAATGTCATCACGACATTAAACAGCCACCTAACAGCAAGTAAAAAGACACAATTGCAATATTTTTTTCAATTAAAATGATAATAACTAAAAACTTGGTACATCCATAAAGTGTTTAAATAGTTTGCATCGAGGTAAACACTCACCAATTTCCTTCTCCCTGAATTTTCTTTTTTTTTTCAAATGCATTCATCTGGTTTCTTCTGTTTTTTGTTTGTTTTTTGCTCCGAGAGGCTTTGGTGTTTGTCTTTTCCAGCCCTTTTAGTGCACTGCGGCTGCGGCGGCTGCTGTTTTTCCCCGTCAGCTCGATCAAGGAATTGCGCAGATAAACGCCTCTCGCCTGGGGAAGCCGGGGCTGTCGGAGGGCAAAGGGGGGGGAGCGCGCACAAGGCTAACCTAACTGGGGCCAAACGTGAGGCAGATCCAGCCTATAGCGTCAAAACAGCCGATAGAATAACTACAATGGCTGTTATTATAAAAGAGCGACCGAGAGAGCAGCAGCTCTTGAAAATAAATCTTTCCGGAATGTATCGCAAAAAAAAGCAACAAAAAAAAGAAAAGCTAAGAGTTACTGTTTGAAGTTGTTCTCAAAGACAGTGGCTTAATGTGAAGAAATAGAGCTCTTCCTCTGATTAAAGGTGAGTATTTAGACAGTAGATCTCTAGGGCAGGTCGGCTTTTCCGTAAGGCGACATTGTTAAAACGCAAACCGAGAGAGGTGATGCCTCCACCGGCCAAGAACTGAGGGCTGACCCGGTGTCTGGCTTGGAAATGGGGGTGGGATTTCCCGATCTTTCCTGTCATTGGTTAATATTTTATTCTGTTGACATGTTTTCTTTCTGCTAATGCTTCCGACACCTTCTCGCCCCCCTCCTCCTTCTCTCCTAGACTCTGGCCGGAGCTGTCAGAACCACGCCTATAGGGGCCCACAATTGGTCCAGAAAGCGTAAAATCAGCAATCAAAGGGGCTTGGTTCATTAGTGTCGAGGATGGAGGCAGGAAGGACATGTGAGATAGTAACAGATCTGCAGTGAACGGGGCCACATCTCTCCAGTCAGGGGTGGGATGACTGAGGCAGAGAAACAGCTTATTTCTCTGAGAGGCGAAGAGCGCAGCGGGGCTTTGCCGTCACAGCGCGGCGTCCACTGACCAACTCAGCGGAGCGACCACGGGAAAGCACATCAGCAGCAACTCCGGGGCTATTTTTATTTTTTTCTTCACCCTGATCACACGTTGCGCGTTTGACAAGACGCCGCTCTCAGAAAAATTAACTGATCGCGAAGCGCGGAGCTATACACTGGTTCCGGTGTCGGGGGGGGAAGAGGGAAGATACCACTGAAAATATCCATTGTTTTCACTTCGGTTTTTGTGGATGCACCGATGAGAGATCCAGTTTTTACAGGGACTGCAATGGCTTATCACCCTTTCCACGCACATCGGCCGACCGACTTCCCCATGTCTGCGTTCCTGGCGGCCGCGCAGCCTTCCTTCTTCCCGGCTCTCAGCCTTCCTCCCGGAGCGCTCACCAAGCCCATCCCGGACCACGGCCTGGCCGGGGCGGCCGAGGCTGGGCTCCACCCGGCCCTCAGCCACCATCAGGCGGCCCACCTCCGCAGCATGAAGAGCCTGGAGCCCGAGGAGGAAGTGGACGACGACCCGAAAGTAACACTGGAAGCCAAGGATCTTTGGGACCAGTTTCACAAACTCGGAACGGAGATGGTTATTACCAAATCCGGAAGGTAAGAATGACTGAGAATTCTCTCTCACAAAGAATAAGCTTTTTTTTTTTAAGAGGCGGAGAAGTTTGAGAACCACTAAAGAACATTTATTCCAGTAAAACGGCAATTCCGTGCGCGAGGCCTTTTTACAGTCTGAGCTTATTTCCCACACATTTTTAGTCTGTTTTACTATTTATCACTATAGGACTAACATAACCCTTCAACAAAACTATACAAGCTCACCATGAATTCTAAACTTACTGCGACATTTTCAACTTTTAGATCCAGGACCAGATCCCTATTTGGGAGTTGAACTGGCCAGGGGGGATAAATATTTTTAATTTATAAATATTTACCATTTTTTTCTCGCTCTGAGATCAAAGCGCATATTTGGGATTTCTTTTTTTCCCTTTTTTTGTGGAGGGGATGAGTTCAGCCTGTTATCAGGTTTTATCTCTTAAACTGCGTTCTGTGGAGACGGCAGAGCTTCTGGATTTTATAAACAGTCTGTCACTTCAAAAAGAAGGGACGCGAAGAGCTGTGGTCATAAATATGCTGCTCAGCTTTGTAGAGGAAGGTTTGGACAGCACACACACAAACACAAAGACAGACAGACACCCCAGACACCCAGTCTAGGCTTTTGCGTGCACTGGATAAGAAAAAAAATCTGACCGTTGTAATATTTTTGTAATCTGCCACTTCATAATCCAAACGTGTCCATTTGCCTGCGGGTTAACGTGGTGTTGTGTTTTGGGTTTGTTTTGTTGTATTTATTCTCAAATAACAGCGTGTTGAAATGATTGTGCGTTTCTTTTTTTGCAGGAGGATGTTTCCTCCGTTCAAAGTGAGAATTAACGGGCTCGATAAAAAAGCAAAATACATCCTGCTGATGGACATAGTGGCGGCTGACGACTGCCGCTACAAGTTCCACAACTCCCGCTGGATGGTGGCCGGAAAGGCCGACCCGGAGATGCCCAAGAGGATGTACATTCACCCGGACAGTCCGGCCACTGGAGAGCAGTGGATGGCCAAGCCTGTTGCTTTCCATAAACTCAAACTGACCAACAACATCTCGGACAAACACGGATTTGTAAGTACTAAAGCATTCTTTTTTTTTTTTTACATAGTTCCAATTTTTTTCCCAAGATGAGATCTATGGAGCTGCATGCGTGCACAGGGAATTAACTGAGAATGGCGTTTTTGGGTGTCTGAAGATTAAGCAGAAGTTTGATCAAATATAAGAAGACAATTACCAGAGACACTTGTATGTTATGAGAATAAGAGGAACATTTTTTTTTTATTGGATTCTAACATCGTAGCAAAGCAAGCTCTGTAGATGTAAGATAAGCCTAACTTCTAGGTGTTTTTTCTGGAAACTATCGATAGGGCGTTGCAAAAAATATTTTGAATATCAGATCTCAGACATCCACGTAATGGTGAGACATGTCGAGAGCTGTTAACACTTTGTCCCCACTTAACTTGGCCCCCTTTCTCTGACATACCATTCAGCTCGAAGCGCAACGTTATCACCCTCTGCTTTTCTTTTCTGCCCATGCCTTCAAATCCTCGTATCCAAATCTGGGTTTTAAAAAATGTTTAAAAAAAAAAAAAGATGTGTGCACCTCGCCGACCTGCAGACTACAAGCTTTGTGCCCTCATTGCTGCGTTGGAGGGTGGAAGCACTCAAACAAACAGACAAAACAAAAAAAACACACACAAAATCTGAGCAGAATGTTTGTATTGCAGAGGATTAAATGGTGTGTTATCAAATCGGGTCACAGAGAGAGAAAAAAAACGTGAAATGAGTTGACGGTCTTGACATCCCCTCCAGCCTGTGACCTTATACACTATTTCTCATATATTCTACACATAGCAATAATATGCACTATATGAAAAATAGGAGCAATTTATATATGACTGACAGAGTTTATATAGAAGCTTTTTTCTTCTGAGAAATAAAATAGACATTTACATATCTGTTTAAATAATTTACAAGTGAAGTTTTCTTCCATATCTCTGCGTCCTGGGAAGAAATCTATACCATAATTTCTGTATTTAACACAATTCATCACTGTGACTGTATCTTATTTTCTTTTAAAAATCACTTGGATTTGAAAAATGGGTCAAAATTCTTATTGCAGATCCATTTTTAAACTGTCAAATGTAATTCAAGATTTTAGGCAGTATGTGTTTTTTGAATTTATCCTTTCTTAAAAATATTATTGCTTTTTTTAATCTGTGCCTGTTTCTCATAACAGCACTTGCATCCTGGTGAGGTTTTCCTTTCCTTTTTCCCGTTTATCACTAATTACAAACAGCACTGCTCACACAAATAGCAGCACCAGATAATCCCAAACACGTTTTAGCCTTGTGTTAATATCTAAAATTGAGGATCCACTCCGGTCAGACGGGATATTTACTCCAAAGCTATGGTGTTTTTTCGTTTGTTGGTCCAGACCATCCTGAACTCCATGCACAAGTACCAGCCCAGGTTCCACATAGTGCGGGCCAACGACATCCTGAAGCTCCCCTACAGCACCTTCAGGACCTACGTCTTTCCGGAGACGGAGTTTGTGGCTGTGACCGCGTATCAGAACGACAAGGTGAGTCCACTCCTCACTCTCATCCGCCCGCTTCTAATATGGCTGCTATAGTTTGCATAATAAATGTTCGACATGCCTCCCCTCCCCCCGCCACCAAATCCCGAAGACTTAATCTGATTTTGTAGGTCGCCTAATTTCCCTGCTGAGGACTCCCTTGTCCCATTTCTTTTTTTATTCCTTAAACATACCGTTTTGCCTGAATTTGTCGGTGTGGAGGTTATATGTATAGATTTAAAATGGCTTTTGCGTTTTAGATACGTGACAAATGAACAGTTTTACAAAGAACAAAAGTGAATAAATTAGGCCTGTAAATATGTACAATGGCAGACTTGCAGACGTTTACTATTATTATTGTTATTAATATCATAATTTATTATTTATTAAAAGAAAGTCTCTAAAATACAACATATTCCAATCCATTTTTTTTAGTTGACGCATTTTAGGCCATTATCAAAAGCCTCCTTTCTGTCCTTTTATTCTCACTGGTGGCTAATTTGGGCTTGTGTCCAGGAGGCGGGAGGCTCCTTGTTGTTGTAAAAGTTTATGGCAAAGAGTCACAATCGATTAGGGGACATTTAAAAGACTGGTCACCCGGTGGCCAGGATGGACAGATGCTGCGCGAGACTCTCTCTGCTCAAAAATGGAAATGCCCGGAGCGTGTTGTTATGGGGCCACTGGGGGCCTCGGGAGCCCAGAACCACACACAGACCTTTCCGGTTCTGTGCCCATACATGGAGCCTCACTGGTGGCTCTCCTCCTCATCTAGACGCGTCGTGGGCCAGAAGTGATTCAAACCGCATTATTAATTATTTATACGATAGTCATCTGGGCAAGTATTGTACCCGGTGACTTATTTTTTTTTTTTTAGAGGATCGGAGGGTTGTGTGGTCCCTGGGATGAATATTCTGTGGCAGAGTTTTTCTCCTGGGGCCGATGAGAATAACGCCCCATCTTTACACTTTTATTAATAATGCAAATCCGAGGCCCTCGGTGGCCCCTGCCCAACACGCCTGTTCCATGTGTTAATCCAAACACATTGCGCTCCTATAAGTAGGCCAGTTGGAAAACAATGGACAATAACTTCATATGGTTTGTGTTATCAAAGTGGATTTTCAAGCCACTTCAATGATTCCTGTTTGTATCTTTGGACAGATAACCCAGCTCAAGATCGACAACAATCCTTTTGCCAAAGGATTCAGAGACACGGGGAACGGAAGGCGAGAGAAAAGGTACCAAAACTGTCCTCCACCTGCAAAAAAACTGCGAGCACGTGTGTCAACATTTCCATTTTATTGACCGTTATCGTTGTTATTATGGTTTATTTGCAGGAAGCAGCTGACCATGCCGTCTCTGCGGATGTACGAGGACCAGTGCAAGGCGGACAGAGAGGGCGCAGACTCGGACGCATCGTCCAGTGAGCCTCCGGCCAGCAGGGACGCCGTCCACTCCCCGCTGGGGGCCGGTACCAGCCCGCTCAGGTTCAACCGGACCAGTCGGGGTGAGCAACATTGCTATCTACTTTCTCTCCCATGGGTGCCCATGTATGATAGTAAATGGTTTTGCCATAGGTTGAAATTTTTAGAGGGGGTAATCCCTTATAAATCAGTTATAACTAAGATAGAGATACATTTTCAATAGATTTTCTTCCAAAAGCCAAATAAAAGCAAATAGTTAAATTGTTATTGTTAACATCATAATTATTGTTAACATAGCTGTGGATGGATTATAAAATGTGCAACCTTAAAAATGAATAACATTGCTTATAAACAACCATTCTTTACTCACTTCTTATTTGATGGTTTATATCTTAGACCATATGCATCAAGAATTTCATATAAAATTACCCATCCCTTTATTAACCAAAGCTATTTGCCAAATATTTTATCAATTAACCATGTTAATTCTCCATGATATAAATATGAAGAGTGGACTTTTAGATCATGTTAGTTTTTGCAAGTTTTTTTGCAAGTTTGGTGCTGACACCTCTCTCAAAATGTTGCCATTTTAGATGAGAAAACATGCACAGACAGTGAGCAGGAACTGGAGCAACACGATGAGCGCTGCACAGGCTCCAACAGCCCAGGGACTGAGCCGGTGTCCCCCTACAGCTCCAGGTGCGAGGAGCGCGTGAGGGAAAGGCCAACCGGCGAGAAGAAAGACGACTCTATATTCAGCATAAGGAACCTTGAGAAGGACAAAGCGGAGAGCAGGCACAGGAAGGACACCACGGATGCGTTGACAAAGGATTCAGATGCTGGAGGCATCAGTGCCAGCAAGGACACCTTCTCCCCTTTAGTGGTCCAGACCGAGAGCCCCTCACACTTCAGCCCTAGCCACTTGCAAAGCCTGGCTCTGTCTGGCCTTCACAGCCAGCAGTTCTTCAACCCCCTGAACACCGGATCGCCGCTGTTGTTTCACCCTGGGCAGTTTGCAATGGCCCCCGGAGCTTTTTCTGCGATGGGCATGGGGCATCTATTGGCCTCTGTATCCGGAGCAAGTGGTTTGGAAAATGGCAGTCTTTCTGCCCAAGGCACAGGAGGAACTCCTAATCCATTTCCTTTTCATCTTTCTCAGCACATGCTCGCTTCTCAGGTAAGGAAGGGTCATCTAATAAAAAAAATATTTGCTATTCGTCTACACCTGTACTTCTGATGAGTTTTCAGTAATATAAAAAAGGCCAAGCTAAGGGTTGTGAGTGTAAATATGATATATTTGCCTATCTAGGACCATAACTGTTTGTATTAACGTCATCAAATGAGGATTTACGCTTTGACCTCACATAATTAAGATCTAGATATTGTCCTTTGCTTAAAATAGGTATGACTTGGAAAGTAAAAATTAAGTACCTTGCGTCCTGTACTATCTTGATTTTCTGTGTATTTACTTGATAAAGTTAGATTTCAATTCAAAATCCTGTCATTAAACTCAGTTATTTAATATATGTGATAGAATAATTATTTGGCCAAATGTGAAAATTGGGATATGTTTAAAAAGAAAAGGTTTTAAGTGTTGTCTTTGACATTTTGCAGGGCATCCCAATGCCTCCATTCGGAGGGCTTTTCCCGTACCCCTACACCTACATGGCGGCAGCAGCAGCAGCAGCCTCAGCATCGGCCCTACCGGCGACCAGCACCTCGAGCCCCCTTTCCAGGAACCCCTTCCTGACCTCGTCCCGGCCCCGCCTCCGCTTCAACCCCTACCAGCTCCCCGTGTCGCTGCCCCAGAGCTCCAGCCTCCTGACCACTAGCCTGCCCGGCGGCCTCAGCCTGGGCTCAGAGTCTTCCAAACCGGGCAGCAGGGAGACCAGTCCGGCCCCAGAACACCACAGCAATCACAAGACAGGAGGGTCAAGCGGAAGGGCCGCTTCTCCCAAAAACTCCATAAAGGACTCTGTAAACGAGCTGCAGAGCATCCAGAGACTGGTGAGCGGCCTGGAGGGCCAAAGGGAACCTTCCCCTAACGCAGACTCTCCCAAATGATTAAGACTTTTTATTTGTGTTTGGGGTGAAGACCTATCTTGAAAAGATTACCAGAGGACTTATGTTGCATAAGTCCTGTATAGCACATCACAGAGACTGAGATGAGGGGTTTGACAAAAAAAATGGTTGATGAAGGCAGATATTTTTTTGAACAAAGTTACAGGTAGAAAAAAAATATAATCTGTGTAATTATATTTAACCATTAAAAAAAATAAGAAAAATCACAAATACTGAAGGCTTTCTTCAGAGCCGATCTATTTAACTGTGGAAAGCTTAGATAGTTTTCCCACTATCATTAGACACAAATCCCTCCCTAAATCCAATGTGTGTTTAGAGGCAGCAGATGTTGAAAGCACCAGGTACTCTGAAATGATTCTCTACATGGATTAAATTAATTTCCCAATGGAAAATGTACAAGTAAAGAAGTCAAATGTGCAGAAAACAACAAAAAAAAAACTATGGAAACAATGTAAGACGTTCTAAACAAGTGGTGACATGATCTGGTTAAAAATAATAGTGTTCATTAAAGACATTTACAGTGGGGATGCTATCATAAGTTAGTTCAGTGGATAAAACTTTGCAGAGGGCCACGTATTGGCCACACTAACCTGTGTGAGCCCGCAGCTCCACGCTGAGCGCGGCACACTGCTGAAAATGAGCGCTGACTCTGGTTCACTTGAAGAATCGAGCATCCCAGTCTGTTTTTTAAACAGAGCCGAGCCTCGAACAGGAGCCTCCTCACGCCGACAAGGCAGGTCTAATTATTCAAGAGATAGAAGGTGAACGTTCCGTCTGTGGAAGGAAGGAAAAAGACAGAAAGAACTGCTTTATCATTTCATGCCAGAAATATTCTCTCTGAACTATTTATGTAATTAAAAAAAAAATTCTGTAAATAAAGCTAAGATCCAAGAATATGCAATCGGTATTAATTTATTCAATGCTGTATATTTGCGTGTATATATTTCGAATTGAACTTTTTCTCCCTCCTTACTCCCTCATACCCCCTGTTTTACATGAGCATATACTGTAAACTGAAGCTATTTAGCGCTTGTTGGTTTGAAAAAAACTGTATGACGCATCGCAGATTTTTTTTTGTTTTTTTTTGTTTTTGTTAAGGAGACGTGTGTGCCATGTTTTAGTCCACATCAACTAACACAGAGAAACAGAGATGAGCTCCACTTGGATTAAAAAAACACCTCAGGTTATTTCACTCCAGTCTGGAGATGTTCTAAGCAATTCCTCCTAGGGCGCATCATTCATATCTACTCATAATTATAGCCTATTTAAAGATGGACGTATCTTGTTTATGCTGGTTGTCCGGGTATTTTTTCTAAATTTTGTTTCTTTTCTTTTGTGCTTTTTTAAAAAACAATGTTTGTTTTGTTTTGATTGTCTCACAATTTCAATAAAAAATCGTTGTGCTCAATGTTTGCATCTTCGGGTTATTCGGACTCTAACGCTTCAATCTTATCAGGACATACATTTAGAGAATTTTTAAAGCACTTCCTGAGTGTTTTCCGTGACATTTACGCACACGCACGCATTCTCTAACACACACACAGGTGTTAACAGGTGGGTCTGTAGCGCCCTCTGTCGGTCACGTACAGAAAAAGAGACACACTGCTTGTAGTTTTTTCTAATTTGACAAGAAAATAGATCTGGGTTGAGTTTATACGATAGGCAAACAAAAATGAGTCTTTACCAAAATCCCATGGATTGTAGCATCAAGTAATATCATGCCAAATAATATCATACCATATTACAACAACGACAACAACAACAATAATAATGACAACAATAATAATGTTTTATTTTGACCTGTCAGTGCGCAGTGTTTTGCAGCAACAGCATCAGTTTCATTTTATTGTTTTTACCTTTTTGTATTGTGTTTAAGCTGCTCTGTCTCCTGCGTCCATTCTCCTCTATTTTCAGCATGTTCTTGGTCAACGTCAATCAGCATTTCCTTTAGTATTGTGTGCTTGTCTGTATTTTTAGAAACAGTCGAGTAAAGCGAGTAGGCTATTTATAGTGATCCTTATTTGCTCCGCTCGCACATATCCTTTGCAGACGCAAAGCATATTCAAGTGTTTTTATTTTAAGATATAGCAGGAGATCTGGGTGTGCGCTTTGGAACGTGAACTCATCCTATCTGAGCGTTTTTTGACGCGAAAACAAACAACTAATGTGTCATTTTTTTCAATGGATAAAATATGTCACAAAGGTTTTGCATTGGTTTAAATTGGGACATTTTTTTGTGAGATTAATAGAATTAATAACAATTTTTTGGTTTGTTTATTTCCAATTTTGTGGTTTACTTAAGGTCCAAATAGTTTGTTGAGACCTGTTTGAGAGCATGACGCAGCAGCACTGGTGTGTGTGTGTGTGTTGACGTATGTGTGTGTCTCGGTTTAAAGGGTTAAGCAGGGGGAGTTTAGGGCAGCAGACAGCCTTTTGTCCGGGACCCGGCGCCTGTCGCCTGCCTGCCGGCCACAGCCTCCATACCGCCCCGCTTCCTAATTAGAGAGCCCACCCTCCTCCTCCTCCTCCTCCTCCCCCCCTTCGTCTTCATTTTCTTTTCTTTCTGCAGCGACAATCACAAAACTCTCATTCTATTACAGGGGCCATTGTTGCCACTCTGTTATCTTCAATTAACAAGGAGAGCAACTCGACCTCGCGCTCTGGGAGAAAAAGTATTTGTCTAAATCAATCAGTCAATGAGTGATCAATAGGCTCCTGTGGAGGCCCCGTGGATCATAACTAATGACTGGTGACGGCGTGGGGTAAAAAGGCCAAGATTATTCACAACTTTGTTAAATGATCAGTGCAGGTCTGTTTGGCTGTTTCTGTTTTGTAGGCCAACAGGAGATAGCTACGCAGCTCATTTGGACGCAGTCGACAAACAACACCTTTCCTTGTTCGGACTGAGAAACCCACACCAGCACAATGGGCAGTCTCTCGCTTTTTTCTATCTGATTTTTCTTATCTGCAGGTCCGCGCTGATGCTTCTGAGCCAGCTGAGATCTGGTCTCGCATCAGTCCGCAAGACCCAGATTGCGCAAAAATGTCTCAGTATAGGTTACTTGCGAAATGTGGCAGAATTGTATGGTCATATTACAGTTTTAACGTATAATTTTCTTCTCACTCACCCATGTCGGTATGGTGAAAGGTTACCTTATAATTTTGGATTTTGTTTTGGACAACATTTCTATTATTTCCTGTTATTGTAAAATGAATTTATGGAAAATATTTTCTTTTCATTTTGTACCCTTTATCCAACAGGTGATTCCAAAGATGGAAAATTATGTATGACTATTGCTAACACATCATAAAGTTCCAAATTAGTACCAATGTGATATGGAATATATAAATCTTGCATTCGAATCAACCAATTAAAAATATTTTGCAGTGACATGAGACAGAGGTGATGTTGTCCATGTAACAAATACATCAATATGTGTAGAATATGATAGATATTTTGTAAATAACTCTTCTACTTTAATTAAATCTGTCAGACATACAATTTTTTTTCCTTTTTTGCGTTTAATTGTTACCTCTTTCACAGAAGTCAGACTCTTGTTACAATGTTGATCAAATGTTGCTCCATGCACCATATAGTTTGTTTTATGGACAACTAAGCATGTTGAAATTCTGTGGCGAATGACTTGCCTCATATGAGTTGAATAAAGTGAAAACGATGGTGATTCTTATTATGTCTGAAACCTTTTTTCAAACTGCTGTACACACTAATTTGAACATTTCACCAATTCAAAATCTCCATGTCTTTATTTATCACGAAACTAACAACAACAGTTTCATTGTATCCATTTTGTAGAGCTGCTTAGAAAAAAATACAATTCTGGACCAAAGAAAAATCTGCAAGCTGTGCAATCGCAAAAGCTCATTGAGCCAGAATTTCTTTAGCATATTTAACAGACCTGACAGACCTAATAGCTTTACTTTTGAAGTGTCCACAGAGGGTTTCAGTGGGATTCTGGCTGGTTCCCCTCTGCTCCTGACGGGGCCAGTAGCCTATTGGCAGCTCTACTCAGGTGCAGCCTCCTCCAACCACAGGCTCTGTTATTCCTCTGAAATTAGCATAGAGAGGGACAGAGAACAAGCTCATCCCACAACCTCACTTTAACAGTTACTGGAATCCATTATTAACTCTTACTTACCAACAAATTAGACACAATAGCAGATTATACATTTTAATGAAGACTTGTTGTGATAAAATGATGTTTACTAAAGCAGAAGTGTAGAATTCTCTTAAATCATGACAGCAGATCCAGTAAACACCTAATAAATACATCTGTAAAATTAAAATATTACAAGAAACAGGCAAGTTACACTGCCAACCTAAAAAAAAAAAAGTTAAAAATACATGCCCACCTTAAGTCCTAAGGACAAGAAAAATATATTAATGATAACCAATAATCACAATATTTTTTTTCTAAATAGGTAAAATGGAACATGCATCAAGTCATGAATGTATGTGTGGATGTGGGTTTTTTTAGTCTAAGTATTTTTGTTCTTCCTGTTTTTAATGGCTATTTTAGGGATGCAGCATGTGAGCAAACGTGCATGCCAGCCGCCCCCTCCTGGACACAGAAGAAGGAAGAGGGACTTCTGAGGGAGTGAAGCATTTTCGTAAAGCAAAACCACCGTTAAGCTTTTTTTCTGCACGTGCTGTAATTTATAATATGGGGTTCGTGTTTGAACCCCATATTATTCTAATATTGAACTGATCTGTTGGTGTACCATGACGATGTTTTTTTTAGATCAACAGCAGAGCGACACATTCATCGGATAACACTGAATTTGGTTGATTTGAAAGCTTTGAAAGAATACAATGCTGTGAATTATAAGTTCATCCTACAACATTCCAAAGTTGCTATGCATTGTTTTTTTCTCAAATATTGTCTTTACAGAAGTTCATTACAAGCATGTACAGTAAAGCAACATTCTTTGTATATTGATATCTAGTCCAGTTGTGGCTTATGGTATTTCTATGTTTTCTTTTTTTTTAAGCTATGCATTTCCACTCCTATAATACAATGATGATTGATATGAATTATTTGTTTAAAGTATTTCCAAATATATATACATTTTTCAGAGGATAGCTTCCCATCCACCAACCACTAGATGGCATACTTACTTACCCAAGCAGAATTTGGGTTGCCATATGTGTGAACATCCAGTAATAACTTCCACTAGTAAATTTAAAATATATATTAATGTCATGTTTGAATTTATCTATCAATACTGTTTCATACAAGAACAATTATAAGGAGAAAAAAACATTGTTCATACATATTAATGCATAGATAGATAGATAAATAGATAGATAGATAGATAGATAGATAGATAGATAGATAGATAGATA